TTGATGGGCGAGTGCGGGTGGGAAGAGACTCGTGTGTGTGCGGGATGCGGGAGAATAAAATGATTCGCGGGACTCCCGTCCCGCAAAATAGAAATTATCTAAAAGTGTCTAAAACATATAAATTGTTATTTATCTGTTGCACAAAAAGAACAACTAATGTTAACATTAAAATGATTGACATGCGTAAGCTAGGCATAGTTTCTATTTATAACACGTATTTAAAGGGTTGCACAATGTAGCCAATCACAGACTCAGCTGTTGATTTCTGGAACGCAATGGCCAATCAGAGGTGATTAAGTTAGAATCTACTCACAGCAGTGCTGAAATTGCGTGCTCACGAATCCTCTCATTTTAACATACGAAGTGTAGACATTGTGAAAGATTCATTGTGCATGTATTTATTGTGTTATAACAGAGCTTTATGAGATCGCGATTAACTGAGATGTCAGTTTTTAGTGATAATAAAGGAAGCGCTGCTCGCATACTGCCATGCCAAACCATGCACGCAGCAGCACATGCTTGCTTTTCTGTTGTGAATGTTGATGCTTAGCCTAAATAACAAATATTTTATCGGGAGTGTTTATGCTGGGATGTTGTGGAGTTTAGGAGATGTTACAGAACCATTTCATGTAAATTTCTTCGATTGTACTGAAAAAAAATCTATACAGATTACTTTTATGTGGGCTTTTGCGGGCGGGAGCGGGACAAAACTTGAATGTCGCGGGCGGGAGCGGGTCCAGATAAGATATATTTCTGCGGGAGCGGGACTGAAAAATCCATCCCGCGCAGGTCTCTAATTCAGGGCTGTAGAGGTCCTCTCTAGGTGCTGATCCACCATCTGCTCTGGATACAGACTGGATCTAGTGGCTACGGTGACCTCGGAATAAGAGAGAAACAGACTAATATTAGCGTAGATGCCATTCTTCTAATGATGTAGCAAGTACATCGGGTGTTATGGGAAGTGTTCCCGGTTCTGGTTGAATTAACTAGTTCTTTGGGGTCAAGTTGTGGTTTTTTGATGAGAGGCTTAATAACAGCCAGTTTGAAGGTTTTTGGGACATATCCTAATGACAATGATGAATTAATAATAGTCAGAAGAGGATCTATGACTTCTGGAAGCACCTCTTTTAGGAGCTTAGATGGAATAGGGTCTAACATACATGTTGTTGGTTTAGATGATTTAACAAGTTTATACAATTCTTCCTCTCCTATAGTAGAGAATGAGTGGAATTGTTCCTCAGGCGATCTATAGCAAGCTATCTGATGTGATACTATAGCTGACGTCTGCATGGTTACAATTTTATCTCTAATAGTATCGATCTTGGAATTAAAGTAGTTCATAAAGTCATTACTGCTGTGCTGTTGGGAAATGTCAACACCTGTTGATGCTTTATTTTTCGTTAGTTTAGCCACTGTATTGAATAAATACCTGGGTTATGTTTGTTTTCTTCTAAAAGAGAAGAAAAGTAATCAGATCTAGCTGTTTTTAATGCTTTTCTGTAGGATAGGTTACTTTCCCGCCAATCAATACGAAATACCTCTAGTTTTGTTTTCCTCCAGCTGCGCTCCATTTTCCGGGCTGCTCTCTTTAGGGTGCGAGTGTGCTCATTATACCACGGTGTCAGACTGTTTTCCTTAATCTTCCTTAAGCGTAAAGGAGCAATTGTATCTAAAATGCTAGAAGAGAGAGAGTCCATAGTTTCTGTTACATCATCAAGTTGTTCAGAGCTATTGGATATGCTAAGGAATTGGGATAAATCAGCAAGATTACTTACAAAGCAGTCTTTTGTGGTAGAAGTGATGGTTCTACCATACTTGTAACAAGGAGTAGAATTTACTGTTTTAGCTATATGAAGTTTGCACAAGACTAGATGATGATCTGAGATATCATCGCTTGGTTGGTTTAATGTAGAACGATGGTGATGATGAAGAGCTCCTCTAGGAATCTAATCAGTACTTTCATAAAGCGCTGTCCTGATGCTGCAGCAATAAACAAAACAAAGGCATTATTTATTGCTGTGGGTGAAAATGACCGTCTTCTCTTTTTATAACCATCCAGGTAGTTAAGAAGGTTCTTTATCCTACCGTCATTTGATTTATTATACAGTAGTCAACATTTAAAGTGGATCAAAAAAGTTAATCAAAGTTGTCCTAAGACAAGAACGTATTTTGGTTTTAGGACAACTTTGATGAAAGGTTTTGATCCACTTCAAATGTTGACTACTGTATAATTGTTGATATACGTTTTTTGTTCTGTGTTTATATGTTCATGTGTTGTGAACAAGCAGTATTTTATACATCGCCTCCGAGGTGCCAAAAACAAATGAGAGCGAATAATAAAGGATAAAGATTTTATTCAATTCATATCCAAATGGATCCTGGGAAAACATCTTCAGTTCTCAGTAATAACGTCAACTGAACTCAGTCACACAAAAAAAGGAATAAGGCACGAAAACCACCGTTTTTTTTGTTTCCAAACACAATGTGACACACAAAGCTACTTTCAGTGAAGATTTGGCAATCAACAATCAAATCAGACTTTTGCTGATTCAAACCAGTTTGATAAAGTTGTTGAAAACCAACCCAAACTCCCACATCATAGGATATAAAATAAATACAAATAATTTCGTTCTGATATTCCATTTCGACAGAGAATTTTAATCTTCCAAAGTTCGCAGAAAGTAAATCATCATTTGAGCGTCAATCAACTTCTGCTGCTCTGGACCCAAGATTAGGAAAGAAAGGAAATGCTGATGGACAGGAAATACTTAGTGCTCTATTTAAAAAGTGACGAAGGATTTGACCAATGAGGCGTCGCTATTCTGAAGAACAAGCAGCTTGACCAATCTACAGGCTCAATGCTGTTCTGAAAATCAATTCTGTACTTGGTCAGAAATGATATAATAAATATCTGCTAATGCAAATAAATATAATGCCTCCCTATTGCAAAAAAAAAAAAAATTGACCAACAAAATTCAAGATTAAAGAGAGACAATCAAGAGAAAAACTCCAGAGGTCAGAGGTCAGGCCCATCAGCTGTACATACAAACAACTGCAGCATGAGTTTCTGTCACTGCCACAGTTTCTCTGAAGGGTCAAAGGTAATGCGACCATATAAAAGCTGGAAATGACAAATATTTGCACTGTAATCAAACTCACTCTATTTAGTGTTTGCTTGAGTTGATCAGATCTGAAGGCACTTGCTGCGCTGACAGTGTGTGTGTGTGTGTGTGTGTGTGTGTGTGTGTTAGTGTTCAGCAGTCACACAAAGCATTTGAACTGATGCTGTCTGTCACACACACACTCTCACACACAGACAGACAGACACAGACAGACACACTCACACACACACTCAGACAGACACACACACACAGACTCACACTCACACACACAGACAGACAGACACACTCACACACACACACACAGACTCACTCTCACACTCACACTCTCACACACAGACAGACACAGACAGACACAGACACAGACTCACACTCACACACACACTCACACACACACTCATGAGATGCTGCTGGACTTTGGCTTGATGGTGGACGCAGTGTCACGTGGGTTCGTTCAGTGCAGAGGGAAGACCATCATGTTTTCGTGTCAGAATGACCCGCGGCTGAAGCGCTTCATTAGCCGCTAAAGAGAGATTGATCGTTTGATTTGATCATTGTGCAAATAAATGAAGGCTGCCACATCCTGGGCTCTCCGGCGGTCGAGGGAAGCGTCAGCGCCGCTTCTGCGTGTCGAGTCTGATCCAGTGCAGGCCGGGTCGAGCGTATCGCACTAAAGCACTCATGGAGGACATCAGACTCAGAGGACCGACGGCAGAATCCAGCTCTCGCAGCAAACCTGCAAACCACCACAAAACCACTGCGCTCATTAAAAACACCAGAACAATCCTCACACAAGTGTCCGGCTCAACTCTTTTACTTCTTAAATGAATATAACAGACCTACAAACATCGTCTGGGAAAAATACTGTCTTAATCTGCACACAGACCCAAACACAATTAATCCACCATTAATATTTGTCATTCAACACGTAAAAAAAAATAATTAACACTATTAATGTAGCATTCGTTTTGTCTTCTATTTCCTAATGTAGCTCTGCTAAAGTCTGTTGCCCATATCGTATGGTTTATGCCCACAAACCAGCTCCACAAAGACAAAGAGTTGATTTTTTTTTTCAATAAAATTGATCATTTTAATACTTACTTGACATGAAAATTAAAATAAACTTGAAAAAGGGGGAAAAGAATGAAAGAATGAAAGAGCGAGTAAAAAATAACGCTCTTATAATGAAGTATTTTAATCGATTGATGGCACTACTAACCCTAACCTACTGTATTATGAACTCGGTTTGTAACAGAAGATTGTTTTTTACAGACGAGGACAAAGACGTTCAGCATTCAGCTGTGACCTCTGACCCCGTCTCACCGCTGCCTCGGAGAGCGATCTGGTCCGCCTGCTCCCAGATGTGGTGAGCGCTCAGGAGGAGCGTGGTGATGCTGATGTACGCCGCCGCCACCTGCTGGACCGGCTGAGGAACAAGCAGCGAGCCGCTCCTGCGGAGACAAACACAGCGGTGAAGAGAAGAGAAGACAGCGCATGGATCCGAGTCCATGAGTGCGGCGAGGACGCTCACTTAGACACGGAGGGAGACGCAGACCACGAGCAGCTCTGCAAACAAACACAAAGAGCGTGAGGCAGACGTCAGACATCTGAATAAACTGCAGGAGACGGAGGAGCACGCACTCTGAAATGATCCGTGAGCATCCGCGAGTGTCTGAGCGCTGGCTCTCGTCTGGAGCGGAACATGGCCATCTGCAGCAGAGACTGGCACCGCATGCTGGGGACAAACACAACACGTCACTCGTGTACAGACTCACGTCTCTGTCTCTGCTGGGTCGGCTCTCACCACAGGACGCAGAAGTCCCTCTCGTGAGCGGCGGCCGCCGGATCCGTGTAGTTCTTCAGCTTGAGAATGAACCTGGACAGACCACAGCATCAGCAGCCAGTCGAAGCATCGCTACTAGGGATGTAACAATATTATCAATATCACGATGGCAAAACTGTCTCGGTATTATCGTGGTCACATGACGATATGAAACGATAGGTCTTCCGGGCAAAAAGTGTAGTTTTTCAAATATATATTTAAACTTCGTATTCTAACATAAAATGCATTTAAAGTTGTGTTTTGGGGCATTATGCTTTGGCACAGTATCTGTCAAACGAACTCAAACCGAAAGCACAATATGCTTCATCAAGTCTGTTTTTGCTGCTTGTTTCAAAGCGAAGCGCACACTTGGTTCAGACGATCAGCTCGTGATCCGGTGTTTTCTGCGTCTCAGAACGACTCGTTCACACTGAATGAATGCAGTCCACTCGTTTATCACACGTTGTTTATCACATGTCAAAATATCTCTTTGAAGTGTAGAAATTAGGAAAGAAGTATTGTACTTTCCCTGCTGTAGTGTAAAGCAAAAATAATATACCGATGAAATATTAATTTTCATTTAACAGTGCAGTTGTTTTACAATATATGACTACTGCTGTCATTGTTATCTCACCTGATCAGGTCCACCGTCTCCGAGAACATGGTGTAGGCAGATTTGGGCGTCTGCGGCTCCGTCTGCATGGCCACAGCGCTCTCCGTGAACGACAGCGCAGCCTCCAGATAGCACAGCGCTTTAGCCATCTTATCCGGCTGAGGAACAGAGAAACACGTGTGTCAGAGCGAGCGTGGAGCTCACCGTACAGCAGACTCAACCGAAGGCTTGATAAACACCGTAGCATCTGCTTTGTGCTTCAGCTTTTTGGCTTCCTTCAAATGATCTTCCACTGAGAGTTTCCTGGGAACCAGAGGTCAGAGGTCAATCACAGAAACACTATGCACGTGGCGAGTGACGAAGCCTAAAAGACACTTGTTGTTTGCGTTTCAGCTGACATTCATCACTCGTATCACATCGCTCTATGTTCACAGACGTACTCGGTGTGATTTCTGTGAAATAAAGCAGCGGCACGCACCTGCGATCGGGCAGCAGCGCTCGTGGTTTGGCCGCAGGAGGTTTCTCCAGGAGCTCCTTGTGGCTCTTGCCGGTTTTCTGAGTAATAAAAACAGTTCATTACATCAGAGCAGTAATCCCAGGAGAAATCTGAAGTGAGGATATCTGCAGTACCTTCCCATGAGTCTCTGCTTTCTTCCGCTGGCCGTCTCTGTCCTGAGGAAGACCTGAGCTGTTTTTCACACTCTTCTTCTTCATCATCATCTTGTCGCTGTTCCCGACGGCTCTGATGGAAACATGAAGAGCGTTCAGATCGGCGTCTATCAGACAGAGACTCTTTCCATTCCACATCAGAAAAGTTCTGGCGCTTGCGTCACATTAATGAACGTCACTGCATTAGCTCAATAAATGACACTGGATATTTTGTAAGGAAAGATGCACAAACAAACACACTTTACAAACCAAACATTTGTACAGTTTGAAACACTAAAACAGTCTAGTGACCGTCAAGATTGCATTAGTTTTCAGTTGGTGGATCATGTTGATACACCTGTAGTTGTCAAGATATTCATCCAAGAGCATCATAAAACCCCAGACATTCCATCACCATCATCATTATTATAACTTTTATAATACATTTCTATTAATATGGAAAAAAGTCTTGAGTGATCCTGGTTTAAATTCATTTCTGAGATGTGGAAAGTAAGTATGTAAAACACGTCAGGCTCTGATTGGCTGTGTTTCTGTAACTCACTCTGATTGGTGGAGGCTCTTCTGAGAGGAAGAAGACTGTTTTCTCTCTTTGTCCAGTTTCTGTTTCTTCTTTGAAGACTTTTCATCCCTCTCCATCTGCAAATACACACACACACCCCTCCAAAGTATGTCACATACAATAAAATGAGTGAACGTGATTCTGTAATGTTTGATGGCAGCTCTTCGTTACTCTGCAGCAGTAGTGAGTCAGGGTTAGGGGTCAGTCAAAGTCAAAGTCAAAGTTTATTTATAAAGCACTTTTTTTAAAACAACAAGTGATTGTCAAAGTGCTGTACACACATAAGAGAAACTCACACACACACTCACACACACACTCACGAGATGCTGCTGGACTTTGGCTTGATGGTGGACGCAGTGTCACGTGGGTTCGTTCAGTGCAGAGGGAAGACCATCATGTTTTCGTGTCAGAATGACCCGCGGCTGAAGCGCTTCATTAGCCGTTAAAGAGAGATTGATCGTTTGATTTGATCATTGTGCAAATAAATGAAGGCTGCCACATCCTGGGCTCTCCGGCGGTCGAGGGAAGCGTCAGCGCCGCTTCTGCGTGTCGAGTCTGATCCAGTGCAGGCCGGGTCGAGCGTATCGCACTAAAGCACTCATGGAGGACATCAGACTCAGAGGACCGACGGCAGAATCCAGCTCTCGCAGCAAACCTGCAAACCACCACAAAACCACTGCGCTCATTAAAAACACCAGAACAATCCTCACACAAGTGTCCGGCTCAACTCTTTTACTTCTTAAATGAATATAACAGACCTACAAACATCGTCTGGGAAAAATACTGTCTTAATCTGCACACAGACCCAAACACAATTAATCCACCATTAATATTTGTCATTCAACACGTAAAAAAAAATAATTAACACTATTAATGTAGCATTCGTTTTGTCTTCTATTTCCTAATGTAGCTCTGCTAAAGTCTGTTGCCCATATCGTATGGTTTATGCCCACAAACCAGCTCCACAAAGACAAAGAGTTGATTTTTTTTTTCAATAAAATTGATCATTTTAATACTTACTTGACATGAAAATTAAAATAAACTTGAAAAAGGGGGAAAAGAATGAAAGAATGAAAGAGCGAGTAAAAAATAACGCTCTTATAATGAAGTATTTTAATCGATTGATGGCACTACTAACCCTAACCTACTGTATTATGAACTCGGTTTGTAACAGAAGATTGTTTTTTACAGACGAGGACAAAGACGTTCAGCATTCAGCTGTGACCTCTGACCCCGTCTCACCGCTGCCTCGGAGAGCGATCTGGTCCGCCTGCTCCCAGATGTGGTGAGCGCTCAGGAGGAGCGTGGTGATGCTGATGTACGCCGCCGCCACCTGCTGGACCGGCTGAGGAACAAGCAGCGAGCCGCTCCTGCGGAGACAAACACAGCGGTGAAGAGAAGAGAAGACAGCGCATGGATCCGAGTCCATGAGTGCGGCGAGGACGCTCACTTAGACACGGAGGGAGACGCAGACCACGAGCAGCTCTGCAAACAAACACAAAGAGCGTGAGGCAGACGTCAGACATCTGAATAAACTGCAGGAGACGGAGGAGCACGCACTCTGAAATGATCCGTGAGCATCCGCGAGTGTCTGAGCGCTGGCTCTCGTCTGGAGCGGAACATGGCCATCTGCAGCAGAGACTGGCACCGCATGCTGGGGACAAACACAACACGTCACTCGTGTACAGACTCACGTCTCTGTCTCTGCTGGGTCGGCTCTCACCACAGGACGCAGAAGTCCCTCTCGTGAGCGGCGGCCGCCGGATCCGTGTAGTTCTTCAGCTTGAGAATGAACCTGGACAGACCACAGCATCAGCAGCCAGTCGAAGCATCGCTACTAGGGATGTAACAATATTATCAATATCACGATGGCAAAACTGTCTCGGTATTATCGTGGTCACATGACGATATGAAACGATAGGTCTTCCGGGCAAAAAGTGTAGTTTTTCAAATATATATTTAAACTTCGTATTCTAACATAAAATGCATTTAAAGTTGTGTTTTGGGGCATTATGCTTTGGCACAGTATCTGTCAAACGAACTCAAACCGAAAGCACAATATGCTTCATCAAGTCTGTTTTTGCTGCTTGTTTCAAAGCGAAGCGCACACTTGGTTCAGACGATCAGCTCGTGATCCGGTGTTTTCTGCGTCTCAGAACGACTCGTTCACACTGAATGAATGCAGTCCACTCGTTTATCACACGTTGTTTATCACATGTCAAAATATCTCTTTGAAGTGTAGAAATTAGGAAAGAAGTATTGTACTTTCCCTGCTGCAGTGTAAAGCAAAAATAATATACCGATGAAATATTAATTTTCATTTAACAGTGCAGTTGTTTTACAATATATGACTACTGCTGTCATTGTTATCTCACCTGATCAGGTCCACCGTCTCCGAGAACATGGTGTAGGCAGATTTGGGCGTCTGCGGCTCCGTCTGCATGGCCACAGCGCTCTCCGTGAACGACAGCGCAGCCTCCAGATAGCACAGCGCTTTAGCCATCTTATCCGGCTGAGGAACAGAGAAACACGTGTGTCAGAGCGAGCGTGGAGCTCACCGTACAGCAGACTCAACCGAAGGCTTGATAAACACCGTAGCATCTGCTTTGTGCTTCAGCTTTTTGGCTTCCTTCAAATGATCTTCCACAGAGAGTTTCCTGGGAACCAGAGGTCAGAGGTCAATCAGAGAAACACTATGCACGTGGCGAGTGACGAAGCCTAAAAGACACTTGTTGTTTGCGTTTCAGCTGACATTCATCACTCGTATCACATCGCTCTATGTTCACAGACGTACTCGGTGTGATTTCTGTGAAATAAAGCAGCGGCACGCACCTGCGATCGGGCAGCAGCGCTCGTGGTTTGGCCGCAGGAGGTTTCTCCAGGAGCTCCTTGTGGCTCTTGCCGGTTTTCTGAGTAATAAAAACAGTTCATTACATCAGAGCAGTAATCCCAGGAGAAATCTGAAGTGAGGATATCTGCAGTACCTTCCCATGAGTCTCTGCTTTCTTCCGCTGGCCGTCTCTGTCCTGAGGAAGACCTGAGCTGTTTTTCACACTCTTCTTCTTCATCATCATCTTGTCGCTGTTCCCGACGGCTCTGATGGAAACATGAAGAGCGTTCAGATCGGCGTCTATCAGACAGAGACTCTTTCCATTCCACATCAGAAAAGTTCTGGCGCTTGCGTCACATTAATGAACGTCACTGCATTAGCTCAATAAATGACACTGGATATTTTGTAAGGAAAGATGCACAAACAAACACACTTTACAAACCAAACATTTGTACAGTTTGAAACACTAAAACAGTCTAGTGACCGTCAAGATTGCATTAGTTTTCAGTTGGTGGATCATGTTGATACACCTGTAGTTGTCAAGATATTCATCCAAGAGCATCATAAAACCCCAGACATTCCATCACCATCATCATTATTATAACTTTTATAATACATTTCTATTAATATGGAAAAAAGTCTTGAGTGATCCTGGTTTAAATTCATTTCTGAGATGTGGAAAGTAAGTATGTAAAACACGTCAGGCTCTGATTGGCTGTGTTTCTGTAACTCACTCTGATTGGTGGAGGCTCTTCTGAGAGGAAGAAGACTGTTTTCTCTCTTTGTCCAGTTTCTGTTTCTTCTTTGAAGACTTTTCATCCCTCTCCATCTGCAAATACACACACACACCCCTCCAAAGTATGTCACATACAATAAAATGAGTGAACGTGATTCTGTAATGTTTGATGGCAGCTCTTCGTTACTCTGCAGCAGTAGTGAGTCAGGGTTAGGGGTCAGTCAAAGTCAAAGTCAAAGTTTATTTATAAAGCACTTTTTTTAAAACAACAAGTGATTGTCAAAGTGCTGTACACACATAAGAGAATAAAAATGTCAGTGATTACGAACAGTCAACAACACAAAAAAAGAAAACAAAACACCATAAAACAATAGAAGAAAGCAGCTCTCATGTAGCGTCAAATGCCAGACTATAAAAATGAGTTTTTAAGCTAGATTTAAAAACAGCAAGTGTTTGAGCCTGTCTAATGTAGCGGGGCAAACTATTCCAGAGCTTTGGGGCCGCCACTGCAAATGCTCGGTCACCCCTGCTCTTCAACTTTACCCGTGGGATAACTAAGAGCAAATGGTCAGCAGACCTAAGTGCTCTTAGCGGAGCATACAGCTTAATCAAGTCGGACAGATATTTAGGTGCTAAACCATTAAGAGATTTAAAAACAAATACCAAAATCTTAAACTGAATCCTAAAATGGGCAGGTAACCAGTGAAGAGAGGCAAGAACGGGGGTGATGTGGTTCCCGCTTTCGTGTACCCGTCAGCAGTCGAGCTGCCGCATTCTGGACCATCTGCAGTCTGGAGAGAGAGGCCTGACTAATACCTATATAGAGGCCATTACAATAATCCAGACGAGTTGAAATAAAAATATGGACGATTCTTTGAAAGTCTTTAGAAGACAGGAAAGATTTCACCTTAGTGAGTTGTCTCAATTGGAAAAAACAGGATTTAACTACCGAGTTAATCTGTTTGTCCAATTTAAAATCACAGTCTATGATAACACCTAAATTTTTTACATGGGGCTTCACAAATGGTTTCAATTCACCAAGGTCCAAATCTGATAACTCACAAGTACCTCCCGGCGTAAACAGTATAACTTCTGTTTTATTTTCATTAAAATTAAGGAAATTTAGTGCCATCCAGGCTTTAATTTCCTCAAGACACTGTAATAGGGGTGCTAAAGAGCAATTATCTCTTCGTTTCAAAGGTAGATAAATTTGCGTATCGTCTGCATAACAATGAAAAGTAATACCAAATTTCCTAAAAATATGTCCTAAGGGGAGCATATACAGGGAGAACAAAATAGGCCCCAAAATGGAGCCCTGGGGGACCCCACACGTGAAAGAAGCAGTTGAGGAGACAAAGTCTCCAATACGAACTGAGAAAGTTCTTTCGGACAAATAGGATCTAAACCATCCCAACGCAGTACCCTTAATACCAACACATTGTTCTAAGCGTGTAATCAAGATCTTATGGTCTACAGTATCGAATACAGCCGAAAGGTCTAATAGAATTAAAATCGCACAGTCCCCTGAGTCAGTAGCAAGTAACAAGTCATTAAAAACCTTCAACAGTGCCGTTTCTGTACTATGTAAAGCTTTAAAACCAGACTGAAACACTTCGTGAATACCAGGGTCAGGGGTCAGGTGTTAGCTGTGCTCACCGCTCTCTTGCGTCTCGACGCTCTGCTGTTCTCTGTGTGAGGCGGAGCTGCTTTGGGCTCCTGTGGGATCCTGGAGAGCAGCTTCAGCTTGATCTTCACCAGCAGCGGCGGATGTGTTTGTTTGCTGATGTTGTTGGTGTCTGCTGTCGTTCTCTTCTGCTCTGTGTGATGTGCTGTTTTCTTTCTCTTGTGTTTGGGTCTGTGTGTGGATGTGCTTTCTAACAGCGGATCCTCACACATGCTCGTGCTCCCCACAGTCTGTCTGAGATCGGACGCTTTGCAGCCGTCAGCTGGGTCACTGTGGCAAGTCTGTGACCCTGGCGCCTCAGTCCTGTCAGAGGAATCATGGGAGTTGGGCCTGATGGCATCACATGGGCTCCTAGGGTTCTGCTGGTGCTGGTTTCCCCTCCTTTCTAACCACCGTCCTAGCTGCCAGTCACTCTCTTTCTGTGGCTAAACACACACACACACACACACACACATCAGGATGACGAAAAAGTGAGGATGAATGCTGTTCTTACTCATCATGGCAATATAAGTTGTATGCAAGAAACTCCTGTTCTCATTTACATTCATACAAGTGCATGTGTGTACCTGTGTGTGTGTGCATCCACCTGTGTGTGTGTGTGTGTGTGTGCACCTGTGTGTGTGTGTGTGTGTGTGCGTGCGCACCTGTGTGTGTGTGCGTGCGTGTGCACCTGTGTGTGTGTGCGTGCGTGTGCACCTGTGTGTGTGTGTGTGTGTGTACTGGTTTATATATCCTGGTGGGGACTTAAACCTGACTACACACAGACTCATGGGGACTTGTGTCATGGTGGGGACCTAAATTGTGGTCCCCACGGGTACAAAAGCTTATAAATCATACAGAATGAAGTTTTTTGAAAATCTAAAAATGCAGAAAGTTTCCTGTGAGGGGTAGGTTTAGGGGTAGGGTTGGTGTAGGGCAATAGAATATACGGTCTGTACAGTAGAAAAACCATTACGCCTATGGAGAGTCCCCACAAGGATAGCTGACCAGACGTGTGTGTGTGTGTGCGTGCGCACCTGTGTGTGTGCGCGTGTGTACCTGTGTGTGCGTGTGTGTACCTGTGTGTGCGTGTGTGTACCTGTGTGTGCGTGTGTGTACCTGTGTGTGCGTGTGTGTACCTGTGTGTGCGTGTGTGTACCTGTGTGTGTAATGTCTCAGGAGCTGCTGGTTCATCTGGGCTGCTGCTCTTTTCACTGTCAGTGTCTGAACTGCTGTCAGAGTCACTGGAGCTGCTGGAACCACCTCTATACACACACACACACACACACACACACAGAGAGTAAAGTTTAAACAGTAGCGGAAGAGAGAGGGGAGAAATCTTCATCTTGACCTTTTTGTAGCACCTTCACATGAGCTCAAGACAAAGATCTGATCTGATACTCACTGAGATTCCAGCTGAACTTTGTCTGATGATTCATGAGCTTCTAGTAAAGAACAACACAACAACTTAAAAAGCACATAAACAGACTTCAACAACATACACACACACACTTACCGAGGGCCGGTAATCCATGTGTCTCCTGTCAAAACAGTTACAAGAATTAAAGTTCAAAAAAGAATGAGCTCAAGAATAAGTCTGAATGCTAGTGTTTCAGTGAGAACCAACGAAACCCTTTACTCTGATCTAACCTCGTTAGTGGAGAGGACCTTGGGCGGCTCGGCTGTGGTTGGCGAGCAAATGGTCGTCAGCAGTGGAGGCCATGAGGTCATTTCCTGTGTGAGAGAGAGACACTGAAATCCTGCAGCTTTCCAATCAAACGAGATTGTCCCAAACTCAACTGACCTGCAGAATGTCCTCCACACGCGCTCCAGACACAATCTGCAGACGAGAGAGAGAGACGTGGCCTTGATTATAGTGATGGGTCGTTCTTGAACGAATCTTTAATGTGACTCTGGAATAACGAGTCGTCTCGGGGAGGGATTTGTTCAGTCGCGCATGCACAACATCCTATAGGTCCTGAACTGGAATTAGTTCACCTGTTTCAAGTCTTCGGGTTTTTCGAGTCGTTCGTTCATCAGCTTAGTTTATGGGGCTGTCACGTGATGAACAAACGACTCAAACCCGAAGACTTGTCAGATAAGAGGTGAGGTGAGCTAATCATAGACTAAAGACCCAGGTAAACAATAAATAAATATTTTCTGTATAGTTCTGTATTATAGTTCTGTCTTGTTTGTAGTTTGATCAATATTTGCGTTAGGGCTGCACAATATATCGTTTCAACTGCTGTCGCCTCTGGCTTGCTTAGTTAGGGACACTTATTTTCCAGCGATATCGTCGACTTGATTGCACAGATACTATTCAGCATCGATATCACGATGTGCGCATCTGCAATAGTCACATCGTGGGATGTGCGATGTTTAGTATACTGATCGTTATATTTATACTGATTGTTTTCTTTGAACACACAGACACCGTGTCTAGTCTGTCTAGCCGCAACAGCTGAAGTCTGGCTACACTGGACGTGAAAAGCGACCGCTGCAAATCATATGAACTTTGTGTCAGTTCGTCATAAATAAAACACGGCAGCAGTTTACTGTCAGGGATTTGTCGCATCGCATCAGTAGACAGCATCACGGACTATAATGAGTTCTGTAGTATTTTGCTGCATCGCGCCGCTCGCGTCTGGTGTAGACACGGTGAGAGCCACGCAGATTAACACCGGATTCCTTTCACTTCCGCGTCTATTAATGACACATACGCGCAAAATTATGTCAAAATGCATGTCTCTGCAAGTATCCTTGTAACCGTTGCTTATGGTTTAAGGTGAAGGTAAACAAGTGAGAAAGAAAATGGATGTGTAACAGTATACTGGATTACAGCAGTTTAATGTTCCTGAGGCTTTCTGTGTCATGAACGTTAATCAAACATCAAAACACAGAGAAAAATCTCTTTTGTAGCTTTAACACAGATTTATTAAATTAATTTATACAGTGAAGACTATGCAGTGTTATTTGATTATTCAATTTCTGTACCTGAATACTGTTAGACTTACCTGAAAAATATAAAGGACTGTTTATTTAATTTGTATCTTTGTTCTATTATATTTATCTATGCTTGTAATTTGTTTATTTTCTATGCTGATTCACTCACCTACAAAATCACTGATTCTTTTTTTCCAAATAGAGCTATTCAAGTCATCTGGTGATATTTTTTTTCATATCGCAATATATATTACAGAAAAACTAAATATCGCAATGTGAGTTTTTTCCAATTTCGTGCAGCCCTAACTTGCGTAAGTAGTAGATGTGTTAGGGAAGTAACACATAACATTTTAATTATATTTAGCTAAAATGAATGAAATGACTCGAAAAAAAGATTTGTTCATTTTGCTGAATGAGACTCAAAGGTCCGAGTCGGTAAAATGATCCGAACTTCCCATCACTACTTGATTAACTTTTGAAAACACTCGGAAACACACGCAGGCTTAGTCTGGCTCTCACTGTAACACTCACATCAGCAGCCTGCAGAGGGGCAAGGTTTGGTTTGCTGCTCTCCTTCAGGTCCTGTAAGTGCTCATACGACTCCAGTGAGGCCTTCAGTTCAGAAGAGTCGCTGGTCACCTGATCCGGACCGTCCATCGGCCTCACGTACGCTGTGGGTTTCTTGGCCTTGGCCAGTTTACTGTGCAGGTTCAGCGGAGGCCGCTCCGGAGACGGGCCGGTGTCCGAGTCGCTGGACCGCAGAGGGGACAGGGCCGGGAAACTGTCCCAGCTCTCTCCTGAAGCAGGGCCGGAGGCGGCTCTGGACCGATCCGTGTGTCCCGACTGCGCCTGAGGGAACTGCGTGGAACGGTCGTAAGGAAGCGCGGGGTCCTCAGGTCCATCATATCCATCCTCATAATTACCCAGCATCCTCTGGATGCGACTCGAAAGCTCGTCATCTTTGATTCTCTGCAAAGTAAATCAGACAAAGGAAGTGTATTTATGCTCTGTTATTTTGCAGCAGTCACATCGAGGGTTAGCGGCTCAGATGTGTTTGATTAGCGCTGGAGCCTCCTAAAGCACTGACACACAACTCATGTGTGTTCACTAACATACACCAACCCCAAATATAATATAAATACACAGAATGATAGTAGGTTTCAGTGTTCAGCTGCGCTGTCCTGTGATCTTAAGAGCCTCCATTTAGGCCTGGGCGATAAAACCGTATCGGTATTATTGACAGTACACCTTCATCAATAACGACAGAAATAATGTTCGCTGTAGTGCACAATATAGTGACAAGCAGCTGTGACATAAGAACACACGAACACATGCTGAAATGAGTACTGTGCCTGCCTGCATTGAGGAGATTGTGAATAAAAAAAGAATTAATCGAATTTAAAAGAAAAATTTGCATTCGAATGCAGAAACGATGCATACGAATGTTAGTTGTGCATCTGGGAGCGTCATCAGCGGCACACGAGATGATGTAAGTGTTTTAATGTTCTCCTGAGCCTCTCCAGTTGAACCCACAAGATGCGCCGCTGCTGCGTTTTTCATTCAAAGTATTACAGAGAAAAAGAAGCTCAATGCAGCGAAGATCTTTGTTAGGATAAAACCGAAACCAAGCCATTCACACGGAGCACATGTTCTGTGCATTTTCAAGACGGACAGCTATGAGTGCTGCACTCGCGTCTCACACAAGAGATGAAAGCCAAGTAAAGTTAAGAGGTTCAACTTTTAGAAGACATGTCGCGAATTTGTGGGGGTTTTTATTTCATTTCACTGCATCTCATATGTTTTTTAATCAATCTGTGTGATCGGCGCTGCGGCTCTATGTATTACGCTATGCATAAATAGATGCTGCTGTTTTGTTCAAAATTGTTTATGCAATTTACGAAATTATATTTGATTCATATATGTTAATTTAGACGTTATGCACTTTTTTTAATACAGTCATTATTTCATTGTATTGAATAAACAATTTAATGCTGTGCATTATTTTGCTCATTGCACCCTCCTGTGGCCTCAGGAGACAAGCCAAAAGTTTCCTTAACACTTATTTAATCTGCATGTAAAATATAAGGAAGGAGATAATTGTTTACATTTAATTTTGTGTTTGACCGTTAAATCTAAAATAAGGTTGTGACTGTGAAACCAAATAAATAAGAAACAAATAAGAGATGCGAAACGATTAAGAAAGCTTGGATGCACGGCATAAACCTTGATGTAAAATAAAATAAATAAATGACGCAAAGTTTAAATAAAGTAAAAATCACTGTGGAACCAAATAAATGAGAAGCAAATGTTTAAAAAAACTTTTTCAGCTATACCGCCCAGCCCTACCTCCACTACACTGAAACTGCACAATCGCTGCTGTCTGAGGGATCTGTGCTCACACAACACATCTTTGGCTGTACTGCTTCACAACACGTCTGCCTCATTGATACGGCGTCACACCAGACGTGTTCAGAGAGGAACAGTTCACATATGAAGAACCGCCACACTAACAGAGCACAGGATCAGCTTCTGTACTGATCTGGTTTACACTCTGAGCTTATATAGTGAGTCAACACACACTTTACTCATCAAAGACCTTGAGAACACAAACACACTCAAAACGCAGTTTCACATCATCACGTGATGATCAGCAGGATTTCAGATCAGAAACTGAAAAATGAATCAAGTATTAAAAATCTCTGACTGTTTCCATATGAAGAGACACAAACACACAGCAGCATCTATGAACACTTTCACTCCAGAAACAGAATCATTACACGCCACACACACACCACACAAACACACACACGCCCACACACACAAATACGTACACACACGCACGCACGCACACACACACACGCACACTCACACACGCATGCACACGCACGCACACGCACACTCACACACACATACTCACACACGCATGCACACGCACGTACACGCACGCACACGCACACTCACACACACATACTCACACACGCATGCACACGCACGTACACGCACGCACACGCACACTCACACACACATACTCACACACGCATGCACACGCACGTACACGCACGCACACGCACACTCACACACACATACTCACACATGCATGCACACGCACGTACACGCACACTCACACACCATTACCGTGATATATCGCATTACCGAATACCGGCACAAGTCTAATACTCACACACACGCACACGCACCACACACACACGCACGCACACTCACAAACACACGCTCACACACACACACGTGTCATGAGAAATGTCACCTTATACGGATTGTTGAAGAGAGGAGCGATTCTGTCATACTGCGTCTCCTCCGGCTGCACCTCCTGACTCCGTCTCTCCCTCTCCATCCGACGCAACATGTTGCGATCCTCCATCTGCACACTGCACACACACACACATACACACACACAGATGAGTCACGGGATGAACATAAATACAAACTTGAAATCAACCTGTTCACATTAAAACTCAACATTTACACTTGCATGCCACACCTGGGGCCTGTTTCATAAAACTAGTTTACCAAATAAGCCAGGCTTATTCCAGTTAGTCTGACTTATTGTCCCTTGATTTGGTTGATATCACCACTGACTCGCTCACATACAATTAGTTGACTTTATTATCAGTCCAAAAATACAAGTATACAGAAAATGCAACTTAAATAAATCAAAGAAATAAAAACATAGGCCTAGGCTACAACTGACTGTATTTAATGTATTGTGCCAAATGTAATGACCTTATATAAAAACATTTATCATGGTTGCTACTTGTGCATTCAGTTTCTAGCCATGCAGCCTTTCTCTGGGGTTTTATGACAGCTGTACCTTTTATGGTTATTAATATAACATTAAAACATTACAATCTAAACTTGCTCTTTAAAGCACTAAAAACACTAAATTAAAACTTAAAATCACTGAATTAAAAATTAAATTAAATAATAGACTACATTTTAACTGAGAAGAGGAATACACATTAACTCTATTTAGGGCTGTATTAGCCAGCTTACATTTGATTTACAGTTACTGCTATCATTAAAATACACTTATATGTAGGATTAAAATTCTACATGTGTCACATTTAATGTCCAACAACAAATATTTTAGCAGAATGTATATTTTACTCAGAATTATTGCACTATTATATTTAGCGTGCATGCGCGCAGCAGCGCTCCTGACAGTAAAATGGATATATCTGCATGACTTTCTAACATTTACAGATGAAGAATATACCTGTGACGTGTCAGTTATGCACGGAGGAAAACAAATGCATTAAACAGCACAGATATATTCGCTGTTTGCGATGGTGGAGCGATTTGATCCGTGATCGACTTTAAGAATAAGCTGCACATCAAATGATCTTGACTCACTGAACCTGGATCAAATGAGTGAGATTGCGTGAACTTAAATTGTCGTTTATGAAACCGCTTTAGTCCTGATTGGTTTGTTAGGTTATTTCAGGTCAGGTTTGGGACTTTAATCCCCGCTTTTCTTAGTGTCTTTTATGAAACAGCCCCTGATCTGTGTGTGTTCATGATGAAGGGAAATAAAAGCAGAAAGAGGCTCGTATGTTCTGAAGGGTGTGTTCTGCGTGTCTCAGTGTGTGTGTCTGGAGGGAAAAGTGTGTAAGGAACATCTGCTCTCAATTAAGACTCTCACACACACACACACACATTTGTGCAGATCACCTGCTCATCATGTCTGTCATATAACAGAATAATTAGCACTATTATAGCCATTTATGCTGAAAATTAATAGAAAAATAGTATTCAAAACCAGAAAAAAATATAAGAAATACATTTCAAATGAGTCACACCTGAATCTGATACACACACTGTTTAGTCTCTGTATTAATGCTCAAGTTTTAACATTTAACGTTGCATTAATAACTACATTCTGCTTGACCTTTCAGCCCATAATAACACGTTCTTTCTCACCTTGACTCGCCCACTCGTGTTTGTGTTGATGAGACATACAGCAGATACAGTCACACTCATCAGACACTAAAGTGATTATCAGTCTTCACTGAAGGTCAAAGGTCATCACAGCAGTGACCGACACACACACAGACACACACCTGCAGTGGCTGGACGCACTCTGTTCTGTTCGTGTATGTGTGTGTATGTGTGTGTGTGTGTGTGTGTGTCAGATTCAGATGAATGAATGTGTTTTTCCGGCCTAAAACTAGTTGAAACACTCACACTCTTATAATGATCTTACAACACACACAAGACACAACAGACACAAAAGAACACACACACACTGACCATAAGTTTGACAGCAATCATTAATTCATTTATAAGGATTAAAGCAGATAATTTCAGTGTAGGTATGACTCAAGAACACACTCGCGTCTATGCGTTAGTATTTACACATGATGTCACTTCACTTTTATTTAGTTTGTACTCATTCATGTAATCATTTGTGCTTCAGTCAGTTCAATTCTAAAACTTCCAATCCGTTTTATAAGTTATATTTGTCGGTTTCTCGTGTGTCTGCGCAGATTTGGTGTGTGTTTACAGACTTTAAGTGTTTACTTGTGTTTTATTTCCTGATTTTGAGATCGTTTTCCCCGAGTTCTCTCACCTGCTCATTCTCGGTCTGCACTGTCCGCTGTGAGGCGTCGGTTGTCGGTCGCTCATGACGACACGATCCGCCGATTTATCACATTTCTTCAAATCCAGAAAAGCAGCTGATTTCCAGAAACCGCAGTTTGACTGAAGCGAGCTCGCGAGCAGAACGGCGCTCCGCGGACGCGTCCACTCCTGAGCGGGGGTCACCCGGTGCTACATGCTTCAGATCAGTGGGTCAAACACACACGGTTTAACTCTATATTTAACAGCAGGCTCCTTTTGTTCAAAGGTTTATTATGAATTTTAATAATTAAACATGAATTCGTATAATTATTCGTCCGGATATCATGAAGTAAAGCGCACACCCCCGCGCAGTATTACATGGTTCCGGCTCAACACTCCTTTTATGGGCATGTTGTTGCAGGAGCGCGCACGCCAACAATCACATCATCACGTTAGAGCAGCGATACTGATTTAAAGTAAATAGTAATACAGTGATATTTACATATGTAGAAATACAGACACTGTTAGTAAACGCTTACAGCTTTAAATAAAATAAATGAAGGTTAAATAGCTAAATGAAACCGTTTCTTTAATTGAATTTGATTGTCATTTTTAATTGCACTTTTCAGTTGCCATAAAACAAAGTGTTTTTAACTGTCATCTACCGTATTGTCCCGAATATAAGACGACCCTGATTATAAGACGACCCCCCCCTTTTTCCAGATGTACCTTTTGGAAAAAGGCTTTTTAAAAAACAAATCTTGTTTTTTCTCAGTAAAACACATTTTGTCTTCAATTATTTTCATATTGCATCATTTTCCTATTTGAATTTTTGTTTTGAAAGAAAAAAATATCGTCTTATATTCGGGACAATACGGTAATTCAATTGAAATAGTACTAGTCTGTTTTGTTATAGTACTAACTGACTGAGATCATGTAGCTGTTAATCAAACTGAGACTGCGTTCGGAATAGTTTTCTACCAAACAAACGTGACTCTGCTGAGAGAAACACCAGCACAAGCCAGAGGGGGCGCACGAGGAGCGCACGCTAACAGCACCAGTCTGCTATTCCCGCTTCAGCCAGAGGGGGCGCACGAGGAGCGCACGCTAACAGTGTCCAGTCTGTTATTCCCACTTCAGCCAGAGGGGGCGCACGATGAGCGCACGCTAACAGCACAAGTCTGCTATTCCCGCTTCAGCCAGAGGGGGCGCACGAGGAGCACAAGCTAACAGTGTCCAGCACGCGATTAGCTGTCGTGTATAAATGGGCTGACAGAAGAAGACTAAAGCAGCTGTAGCTCAATTATAAGTCTACTTTCTAAATCATTCAATTAACCAGGAATGAAACGCTGCTGTGTTGCTCGGAGTCGCAGCGGTTTGTCCTGCTTTGGTGGAACCGTTTCATTGATGGAGCATAAATACACTATACAACTACATACTGTTTCGGTTGTGACAATTTTAGATACTTTTAAACCCAGCTCAATGATGCTAATCAGCACATGGTTAGCTAGCACAGTTCTGAACAGCTGTACACATATAAAAACTAAATGCACCCAAAACATTCTGAGTGTATTTGACTAAACAAATGTGATATGTGAGTGTGTGAGGGAGAATAATTGTTGTGATTTACTGTTGTTCATTCTATTGATTTGTTTGTTTGACAGATTTAAAATCTACCTCAGTGATTTAGATTGAAAATCAAAATATCATATTAATATGACATCACAGTAGACACAGAGATTAGCATCCAGATTTTTATTAACAAAATATATATATGTATGTAGGCTGGTAAATAAACGGGGTCATGGACTACTTTCTAATGATTTTATCAGTTTACTAAATATAAAATGCTTAATAAAACAGAAAGGCTACAAAGGCAAATTAAAATAAAATGTATACTTCAAATTTAAAGCATATTAAACTGGAAATTCACATATTACTGAAACATTAATTCAAACGAATTGAAATAGAAATGCAACAGCCTCTAAGAGTTTATCTGTCTAAATCTTTACCATTGTGCCTTATAATGTTTATAGATTCATTCAGGAGTTGGTCAGACTGGTTTTATTCCTGATCATGACCAGAAAGGGTGGGCACTGTAGGAGGTTTCCCATGATGCCTGTCAGCCGGACACAGAGCGGCAGGTGAGTCACGTGTCTCAGGTGCGGCAGGTGCGGCGTGACGTCAAAGCGAAGGCCGCAGTCGTCAGGGATGATGGACGGAGAGTCGTGGGACTGAACGGGGATCAGGTGAGTCGGAGAGTTGGTTTGAATTTGAATCGATTCTCCATTCGGAACGGATTCGTTGACTGACAGTAAAACAAAAACTTCATCCCATGTGCTGCATCTCCTGTGAATAAACCAGCAGAAGTCCCCCGACTCACCTGCAGGAGTCGACAAAGATATGAACGTGAATAAATAAATACTCTTCCACAGCAGCATGTTTATGCTCAGTCATGCTATACCACATGCTGGGAATAGTGGGAAAACTAGTAGACTCTCTCTCTCTCTATATATATATACAGTATATATACATGTACACACATATATATATATATGACTGTTGCTGACTGAGGTCACAATTACTGAACTAAAATACCATATCATTTGCATATAGTGTATAAACTACAAGATTTTTGCACCTTTCTGTACATACAGCTTTTGGGCACTGTTTGCTAGACTATGAACCCTGGGAAAGAGCCTCATTGGTTTTGTTTAACACATGTAACACACACCAGAGGTGAAGCGGCTCTTACCGGGCTGCGAGTCTTTGAAGCGGACCGTGAGTTTCTGCTGTCTGTCTACGATCTGTCTGTAAGAGAGCACTGTACAGCTCAACACACACTCAGACGGCATCTCAGCGTCCTTGGACATTTCAGTAACAATTTCGTCCTTGTCCAAACACTCCCAGCTGTTCTCCTGAGCAAACACACAGAATATGAGAGAAAGCAGCACTCCCCAGCACAGCCGGGAAGATCCCACACAGGCCATGGTGCTTCAGGAAAGGACGAGTTGTTCCTGCGTTTGTTTGCTTGTCTTCTCTCTTCAGTGCCCAAGGTCAGACAGCCGCAGGTCTGTGGAGTCTGTCTGCAGCCAGCAGGAACAGAGAGCTGTTGAGGCTCTGGACTCTTTTACTGAGTGCGCAACAGCCAGACACACATACACACACACACACACACACACACACACTTTCAAACAGTGTGTGCCAATAAACTCCCAAAATAAGCCACTCATTTCAGAAATGCACTGCAAGTAACCTGTGTCCGCAATCATTACTAACCACTGAAAAATGAGCACAAGAGAAGTTCATATGAGTTCATTCTGATAAATATTTTCAGCATTTGTTTTGTTACACACAGAAGCTGCCAGAAATAAGACACACACACACACAAGAGAAACAAATGTTGAACGGATCTTTTATGAAGTGAAGTAAGGACATCACATCTTTATGCCATGAAAGCTTTCTTTAATAAAACATTCTGCTGATACATTTGATATAAAGTGTAAATCTTGTTAAATACTAGCTAAACATACATGTGAAAGTGTTAGTTTGTCATTCCTGGGTTACATGAAATGTTTTTAATATTTTCTAATACAATGGTGTGTAGCCTACAACATGGAAGTCGAGTTATGAAACATTCAATCATATATGATACTGGGTTGAAAACTGTTTATACATTGAATTTGAAATGATGCTGATTTATGGCCAGATGGTTTTTGCAAACATGCAGTCGAAATGTTCTTGCTGGAATGTGCGTTCGATTCTTCAACAAGACTGGGCGTTTCTCAACACGCAGATCACGTTATGCTAACGATCACGCCTGACGCCACATTAGAGGAATAATTGACATTAGAATTTGATTTAAAGGAAGGTCATTTTGGATGTAACACTTTGTTTGGTCCTCAGATTCGCACGGGGAGAGTGTTGGCAGAGCTGCTCGACAGCATTTTCTCAGGGAACATTGGCTGGCCGCTGCAGCCGCAGGCCCATAAAAACCTGAAGTTAAAAACAGATTTGGCCTTGAACTGATTTATAACAGAAGGTCCATTGTGCATTTCTGTGAAAGTCAAATAACATGCTTAGATTGAGAACTTTTTTTGCCTCTTCTGAGAACTTTATATGAGTCCACTCTTACAGCCCACAAGAGTCTGAGAGTCTGACTCCCAACAGCAGCAAAAGACGCTAAATAAGTTTGCTTAGCTATAAACCTACGAATCCAAAAAGCTGTGCTTCTCTACTGCGTTTCTGTGGCTCTGTGTCACGTGACCTGCAGGTCAGGAAGGCTTTCTAGGACAGGGTCATGACCTCGGGGTCCTGTGTTTGCTCTCCAGGGTCGCAGCCGCACTGGCGGATCAGACTCACCGAGGACAGAACCCAACCGCTCCAGTCGTCCACGTAGAGGAACGGGACGATGTCGTGAGCGGTCGGCTTGCAGCACTGTGGGAAGACAATTAAGATCAGCATTTCATCAGTCTGAGGCCCGTAGATAAGAGGAAAAATGTTTGTGTAGAACAGAAAACAGATCGACTGAACATGATGCCGAGGTAATGCACCTGCGCAGGTGCGTCTGCGCTCTCAGAACCGCAGGATCGGCACTGGACGAAGGTGATGCTCTCCGGATAAACCACCCAGCGCTCCCAGCCCAGATCTGACACATTTACACAAGAGAAGACACGCATGATGAGCCCAATGTCACATTTTACCCCAAAACCAAGACAAAAGAAAAGAAATGGTATCATGTCTGAAGAAAACGAAGCCTTGCTTTCATTAATGAAGTGTGAAGTATTTATACATTGCGCTCATATACACTGTAGCCGTACGGCCTTTCATTTAAGCTGGTTTTAACACCAAAAATGTTGCAGCAACGAGAACGTAGCGGGATGCATCTGATCGCTCACCTTTAATGAAGACCTGACAGGAATGTTTGCAGCAGCTGGAGTTTCTGGAGTCCTCGGGAAACGTTGAGTTACCTGCTAAATAGACAAGAGATCAGATTCACCAGAAACCGGGCTGATCTGGTCTTCACCTGAGCCTGATCTCTGGGGTTTAGGTACCTGGTGCTGATGTGGGGCTGCTTCTCATACTGGCTTTCCACTGCTCACGTAAATGGTGCATCTTCAACACGGACACACGAGGCTCCTGCTGGAGGTTTAGAGATTCCAGAAGGATTTTCCTGATTTCCAGTTCTCCCTTGCATCTGCAAAAACAAAAACAAAAACCACAGTGTCATCACACCTCTGCAGACCTCGTGTGTG